AGAACAGCCCACTACCAAAACATCCCTCCATTTTGGGTTTCTTCAACTTCAGCAACCAAAATTTATGGATACTTTTGGAAACACTGGCTCTAATACGGCCCAAGTCTTGGCTGTCTGGGCTGTTCTCTGGATCTGTGTTTTATCAGAAAGTGTGTATTGTATGAAAGGTGTTGTAATTGGGTTGCTGACGTTGTGTTCTAACCAGAGCAGCTAATAGTGTCAAGTTACAGCTGAACTTTGTTTTCTGTTAAAAATGTGTTTAATCCTATTAGTAGGAATAAAAAGCATTGCTGAATTTATTTTCATTTAATCCAGTGATATTCTGTAAACTCAAAATCTACGTGTTTATCATCCTATCAACTGATTGACCATTTCAGGTATCAGCTGTTTTTTGCAAGACAGCAAAGAGGAAGCCTGAACCAGACTTGGCAAATGCGTGAGGCAGCTGAGTAAGACGCCGTAGTTAAGTGAGTTTATGTTCTCAAGTAATACATGAAGAGATACTTTCATTCCAAAGGTTCTGAATTTCCTGTATATTTTTAATAATAATTACTTTGATTAAACATCAGGGGATAGTTTTATTACTGCTTTTCCTCAAAAATAAATCTAAAAAAAATACTGGGTAGATACATAAGAATGATTTTTAAATACATGAAAGCTCACCCTGAATGTGGCAATCCTGGCACACACGGTGTAATAGATGTGAAACATAAAGTGAAACTATTAATGAACCTAACATTTCCTTTCACTTTGAGTTATATTGCAAATACAAATAAATATTATATTAAAATATGGAATCAGAATTTTTTAGACAATGCATATTTTTTGCTGATGCATAAAAAGAACTGTGAAAATACAGGATCACCTTCCACCTTGTGACATGCTGGGTTTTGCAAAAGGGTGGCTGCATTTTTACATATTTACACTGTTGTACAGTATCCTGAAGCTAACCAGCAGAACCTGAATACTGGACAATAGGGCTCGTTATCCAGAGTGAGAGCAGCTCTACCAGTCTTTCCTGGCAAGGCTGCCCTGGAGCCTTGATCTCACTCTCCATCAGAATCTAGTAGCTAGGACGAAGTTGAGAACACCTCTTTCCCGTGTTGAATTTCTGCTGTAGCAGAATGGTAGCAAAAATGACATGACAAGGATTATCATGATTTTCGATTCGAATTGCATCAATGGTCTCGATAGTATTAGCATACTTTCAGAATCTTGCTAAGTATGAACATGGTATGATGTTTGTGATTAATGCCATCCATTTATAGGACTCAGGTGTTAAAATAATCAATGGATTATTTTAACATGGACCCTAAATTAGCCCTACTTTGTTAATTGCCTTCAGCTCTCCACTAAAAGGAGCTGTTGAGACTAAAAGAAAACTAAACTTAGCAAAAAATATCTTGGGTAAGTACTCTCGGGACGAAAGATCACTCAAGAAACAGATTGTCCCTTTCCCTGTAAAGGAGAAGTTTACAATGACAAGAAACAAACCAAAACAAAACAAAACTTTTATCACTTGCTTTCTTATAAAGCATCACTCAGCCAACTCAGCAATTAAAACTCCCAACATTACTTAAGTTAACATTTGCCAACTACTAAAAACCAATAAGGTAAACAGGTATTAAGAGTGTGTTACCAAGAGAGTTCCTACTTAAAGCAGAGTTATCTAATAATGGCTTCATTCCTTCCCAGAGCTAAATTGGTTTAAATATTCTGAAGTGTATTAATTCTGCTCTATATACCTTCTTTCCACAAGCCATTGCTCCAGTTATCTGAGAGGACCTATGAAGTCCTGAATGGGAAGACTCAACCACACAGCTGTGAATGGAAGAGGCAGGAGTGCAAGATACTCTCTGGACTGAAACATGGCCCAGGCTGTGGAAAACACTGTAAAACCCTGACTTTGTATATCAGTATCAATCAATGCCCTGCAAAGTACAGCATAAATCTGGAAGTTCTAGAGAGCTAACTCTGAGGTAACAACACCACTTTATGTTTTTAAAAAAATCACAAACATTAGGACAATCTCAGGAGGCCTTTGCTCCAATTTCGGGCTCTTCCAACAATTAACGGTTATTGGAATATACTGGTTTTCCAGACACATCTCCTCTTCAAAACAGATTTTTTAAAAAAAGACTAGTGTGAGTGCGTGACATGCTGTGAGGTAATAATCCTCTGCTGGGAGATAAAATTTAACCTGAAGGAATAGGTTTTCATCTAGAAGGAGAACTTTTTATTTAGGCTTTGAACAATGGGATTTCTCCTGACTAGCCAAGATTTCTCCTTCAGCAAATATAGAGCAGACATTCATCTTTTATAACTTATTAATAATAAATGTTGAATTCTCATGGACCCTTTGGTGCCATGCACTCTGGACATACTCATTTATTCAGCACTGTACAGGATTTTACTTGTTCAATTGAACCAATCTGCAATTGCCAAAATTCGTCTGTACCTGGAGGTAAACCAACCTGTATCTACCAGGCAGGCATGCCAGTTTACAGGTACTGTGCCCAGTTTCTTTATTACCTGCTTTCTGGATGGAAGACTTAACAGGTATAAAGGCTTGATAGATGTCTTTAAGAAGTCACTGGAAAAATGCCATTTGTATGCAACATCTGTTCTGCTGATACTCATGTCTTGTAACAATCACAGTCTGATACGTGTAGATGGCAATTCATTGCAGGATTGCAAAGTGAAGCTGTGTGTCACTGTAGGACTGATCCATTACATGGTGTACCTAGGAAATGAGCTGCTCGGCAGTGAAGATGAAACAGACTGTTGCTTTTCTAAAAATAAGGACAAAATGACTGGGAGAATCTTTATGGCTTCAGGGGAAGTCTTCACAAGGCTCAGGAAATCTGTGATGATCTTTCTCTTTCCTTTCTGGGAAAGGAGAAGGCAACATGAGGGAACCACAGCTGGTGGTCACTTGCTGTTCTTACCGCCCTGACACAAGGCTGGCTCAGCAGCAGGAAGCTGCGGGGAAGAAGAGGAGCAGCTCTTTAGGTGCCGTGTCCTACTCAAACAGCTGCACTGTATCTTCTTTACCGGAAGGAAAATGGGGAGGAAACCTCCTGTGGCAGCCTTGGATACTGCCCACATGCAAAACTGGTCCTGTCTGGGAGAGACAGTTGGAAAACTGGGAATCTGTTCTAAGAGATCTGGAGAGTTTAAGATAAAATTCCAAGCAGAATAGGGTTTCAGAAATGTGGTAAGCAATTAGAAATTACAGTGCTCTTTAGTGGGCTAATGCACTTCCTTGGGGACCTAGCAGCAGGTCAGCCAGATAGGAAACAGCATGAGATTAACAGAAGTCTTTTTTTATAAAGATCTGCTTGAATTAAACTGAACATTGTCCCTAGAGACCAGTAAATGCTCTTCTAACTCCTCCTGAAAGCAACAGCTGAGTTGTGCATGTAAAATATAACATCAGCTGCTGTGCCTTAAAAACAACAATAAACAAGTGTTTAATGGTGGTTTTGACATTGTTCAGATCAAACAGCTTGTGAATGCATGTTTTGCAAAACATTCCAGGGTGGGAATCGTGACAGAAGAGGGCACTTTCTTTGTGAAAGAAGAGGGTTTCCATTTAACATTTTGTTGAATCCATGTGACTTTGCGCTGTGCATACACAGGAGTGTCATGTCCACTTTCTTCTCCATTCAGGAGAGCTGTGGGAAGATCCGTTTCACGCCTGGAGGTCCACACCACTAGGTTCCCAAGAAGAAAACAGGTCTCTAACTGCTGTGCTTCCTTCCACAAACAAGGGAATTTCTTTGTTGCAAACGGTCCATTCGCTGCTACACTTCTTAAGGGAGGTACACTGCTTCATAAATGATGTACGTTGTATGTCAGTGTAGAGCAACATGTTACAGTTAAGTCATTCCACCTGTACGGCATCCACACTTGCTTTATGGTTTTACTCATGGTGCTGGAAATATTTGTTACCACCATAGCATATAGATTGAAAAAAAATTTTAACTGAAAAGTTTTGCCTAACCATTAAAGGGTTTTGCCTTTGATACTTATTTCTTAGTGTTTGTCTACAGAAGAATCACTCGACAGGCAATGCAGATCTGCGCATCCACCTCAGTTCCCCAACAATGGGTGTAACGTGGAAAAAGAAAACAAAACAAAAAAAAAGCAAGCAACTTATAATCTCTTTTGCTGGCCTTTATAGACTCCTTTTTTACCGCTCTGTTACCAAGAATCTGGATGTACCCTCGAATTGAACTACATTTGCTGTTGGGTTTGAGGCAGGGATCAGAAAGCTGGGCAATTCAAACTGTTCCGTTGTCTCTCACCTTAGGACCTACAGTGGGTACAACTCCACTGTACCTAAGGGTCACAAGACGCATTCTAGGTTATAAAAGCAACATTACCATTAACATTAGTACGCAGCTATTGAAAGCTCCCATTAATCATGTTTGTTGGTGGGTGTTCCAAGTTGCTGATATGGAGTACATCCCAGCTGTGTGGCACCTGTGGTTTAATTGGGGACAGCAACATCAGTAGTCCATGTAAGTTTGCAGGAGGCCAGCAGCTAACTCCTAAGACTGTGTTCCCATCCCTAATAAAATGTACATATCCTCTTATTCGTCCCTTTTGGACAGTTTGTAGCACACAGACTATTTTAGAATTTAAATTTATGGCATGGATTGCATCAAATACAAACTTTGCAACAACTTAAATATAGGTTTCCCAGTGTTTTACCCAAACTGTGGATTTTTCTGCATTTTTCCTCGTTGGCACTAATACTACTAACAGTGGTAAATGACCATGAAAACAATGGCCCCCACAATATCAAGTGAAAAACCATCAAAGAACATGTAAGTGATTAAAGCAGGAATCTTGGGAAGAGGTGCTCAGCTCAGTGATGATAATCTTGTTTTGATTATGCTTGACTAAAGAGGATTTTTTCATTACTTGGGTGTGAATTTGCTCATCACGCAAAAAAGACGAATTAAATAGTAGGGACTTTTTGAAGACTTCAGGTGTTCTCGCAGGCGCCCTCGTCTTCTGTCCGTGAATCATGCCCTGCTAGCACCGGAGGCGTTTCGGGTACGTTTCTGGAGCGTGTGACCGCCCCGGCCCCTGACAGCGGCAGCAGGTCCAGTCAGGCAGGAACGTCCTCGGGCGCCGGGCTTTGCTCTGCCCTTCTTCACCAGGCCCGCAGGCCTCTCCGCGCCGGCCGCTCCCCGCCAATGACTAGCTGCGGTCGCGCGAC